ACTTTTAATGCCAGTAGGTAATTTTTCTGTTGTGACATAATTACAGAAGTAGGTAGAACACTTTTACACAGCAGGTTTCTTCTTCCCCCACAAACGACTCGACTCTGTCAGTACTTTAAAGCTGAAATAAAATATTTTAGAAATTGATTTTCTTCAATGGAACTTGTCCAGAAATCCTCTAAATGCTTTCTTCTTAGGAGTTAGTTGAAACAACTTAGTTTTGAGCTGCATCATTCATTTGCAATTGACCTCATGAGTCAAAAATTTTGTCTTCTTTTTCCTAGTTTACATCTTGTAATCAGAAGAAAAGCTTGACAAAGGTAGACTTCCAGCAAGTGGTAAATATTTCCTTTCTCAGACCACAGAAAAGCTTATTCCTACAAAAAACTAGGCCACAGCTAAATAGTCTGGCTACCTGCTGCTGTGCTCACTCAGACTAACTGCAAGAGTGGGTTTACTTGCAAAGGACACGATTAGATCCTTGTCTAGGTCATAGAACTTCAAGAGGCTTTAGAAACCTCCCCTATGGACTTATTAAAAACAGCATTTCCAGTTCATATCAAATGCACTGGTTGCAATAAAAACAAACCCCCTCTGTGCACCAGCACAGAATGAACTCTGAGCAGTTTGTATAAAGGAAATCAGTAGCTGGGTAGGTACAAAAACTGCTCACACACCGTCCAAGTATGGATGGAATAAATTCTTATTTCAATCTGAGCGAGCATTCTTACTTGCTCACTCCACCCCGATCAAATGCTGAATCATGAACACAGGAAGAATTGCAAAGTGTGGCAGGACCCAAAACTTCTCTGTGGTTTGGCTGCCAACTATTTATTTGCTGTGGAGATTCTGGGCCTCTTCTCAGTGTTTATTTTCTGATTTCTTACAGCAAAAATTGGATAAATATTTTAACACAGGAAGGTGTGATTGTTTCCAGAACTCTGGAACATGGGCTGTTTACAAATTACTCCTGTCAGGCTGGTGAATTTCAAAGCAATTATGGTCATAATTCTGTTTGTGGCAGCACAGACAACAAGCTCCTGCCCTTTATGCAGAAGACTACTTTTCAGGAACCATCTGCAAAGTCACCTTCAAGGGATCTGCTCTCCAGACGCTACAGCTTCTTCAGTTTCAGCCCTCTCCTACGTTGTGCTGTTCCTTGAAACGAGGCCAAAAGAAGAGTGAAGCAAAGCAAAACTGCCAAGGAAGTGGCACAGCCCTGCACTGCTGCTCCAGCCCTCTGGAAAGACATGGAGTAGAACAGCCAAAGAGAAACAGAAAGTGTCAACTCCACTCCATGAAGTTCCAGCAAATGCACTCCAATCAAATGCCTCTGAACACAGATGAGTATTTATTTTAACAAAAAAAAAAAAACTATTTCCATTTTTCCCTGATGCTCATAAATTCAAAGAAGTGTAAAACCCAAGATCTTTTGTACCAGAGGCAGGATGGAAAGAAAGGTTTTCGTGAGTATTTATTTTAACAAAAAAGAACTATTTCCATTTTTCCCTGATGCTCATCAATTCAAAGAAGTGTAAAACCCAAGATCTTTAGTACCAGAGGCAGGATGGAAAGAAAGGTTTTCCATGTGGAGCATCACATTCAGCGCAGAACCTTTGCCAGGCTGCAACTTTCAATTCCAAGTGAAACATTTCTAAACAAGGGATATCACGCTGAGTATAGTAGGCATACTAAATCTGAATGTCAAAAAGACAGAAAACTGCATATTTTCAGCTCCCACTGGAACATAAGCAGCAGTAAAGCTCTCTCAAAAATTTGCACTAAAAAAAATACTGAAAACCACCTTGCTGTACTATGTTTATTCGTACCACAACGCTTGTGTTCTTTAAAGATGCGCCAAGACCCACACACATTCCTGAAATTCATTGCACCTCCTTTCCTTCAATCGTACTCAAAATCTTACGATTTCCTTTTTCACACCTAGGAATCTTAAAACAAATATCCCTCCCAGTGAAAAAAGGAAAACTCCTGAACCTATCCATGAAAATCCACAAGACCCATCCAGAGGAAAGGAGCGTTTCCCTTCCCTCCCTGGCTCCTCGGCAGATCTTCAATCGAGCTGCCGCTCGCTGAGGTGAGCGGTGCACTCCGCAGACGTTTTACCTCCTGCCAGGCAGGTGAAGTCACCCTCAGAGGTCTATAGATCCTGGCAAGGAAACTGGCTCAGGTGCAAGCACAGGAAAAGCAGCAGATGGTAAAGTTAAAAATATTCCCAGAGAACGACAGCATCCCCTATGCCACCGGATAACAGCGAGGGGAGCGCTGCTGCTCGCAGCTCCCCGTCAGCCACCTGCTCAGACCCTTGGAAATGAAAAAGCCGTCCCCAAAGCAAGAGCAGCAGGGAAAAAGCTGCAAAGCTCCACTCAGAAGTCGGCGGTGCACGCACACCACATGCTGCAAAGCACACCAGCTCAGCGGGGCAGGAAGCTGGGGAGCAGCACTACAGAACCATCAGAGTTGTTATCCGGTATCGCCTTTTAAAATCACCTTTATCTGCCGTCCTGTGAATACGAAGCAGACGTTACTGATGGAATTGAGAGGTGTGCCAGAGAAGAACATACTCCCTCCTCGCCTTTTTTCTTAGGGATTTACCTCCTGGAAGGTGACATATGGATGCTGTGCAAGACTAAGCCTTGAGGGACTTGCATTTCTCAGATGTTGACCTTCCACAGCAGGAAAATAATGGGATTTAATTTCTCCCTAACAGGAAGCGGCTCTTCTCAAATCAAGTAATGAACTTTTCAACCTATCTGCATGTCTTTGAAAGCAAAAACAAAGCTCTAAAAGCAAATAATAGACTCAATTCGAAACCTGCCAAATTGCCTACATCTGGTTATTGCTCAACATTTCTGGTTAAAATGCTTTATTTTGCTGGAACCATTTTAGAGAACTGACAAAATGTTGGAAATTTTAAAGTAACTTGTGTTCATGTATGAAATGATCACAGCTGCGCTACCTAATTCCACAGGAACACTGCCTGGAGAGACATTTCTACAGGCTGCCAATCAGCAATTGCTGTAAACACCCAGATGGCTAATTTTATCAGAGGACACAGGCTGAGGCTCACAGCGCAGCTCCGCTTGTCACCGCTCACAGCCACGGCGAGGCGCCCAGATAAAATGTCAAATTCCTAAAGTCACAGGGAAGCATTTAGGTGGAGATGACCATGCCCCTCTTGGAGAACACGCTCCTGACCCCAGTCACCCTCAGCTCCAGCACAGAGGGTTCAACTTGCAGGTTTAGTGGTGCCCAGAAATCCCTCCCTGCCTGGAATAATGTTGTCAGCAGATACTCACCTAACACCTTATGCTTATTGACCCCTCCAGTACAAACAGGTTCTCAGTATCTGTGCACTGTCCACAACAGACTGCTGCTCTGTATTAATCAATTTGCTTTGCTAACACCAGCAAAGATCCAAAGTCTGTGCCAAGGTGACTATCTTAAAACATGACAGGTCTTCTCAGATGGACATTTTTCTGATACAGTTCTAAGCATTACTGTCCTCACATTTCTCTGCACTCGGAAAACACTGGGATTTTAAATTGCTGGCCATGAAAACACCAGCAACCTTCAAACCAAA